AGGACCCCCAACTGCAGGGAGCAGAGTGTAGGCAGGGCGAGGTAGACCTCCCCGGAGCGGAGGCAGCCCCTCTGTGTGCAGGCAGATTGGAGGGGGGCAAGGGCAGGGGTAGGTGCTCAAGTTAGGGGGATAACATGGCACTGGCCTCGGCGAGCCGCTGAGAAGCTTACAGAAGCTCACACAGTGCAGGCCCCAGAAGTTGGGGCTTGGTCAGTGGGCCACGCAAGGAGGGGCTGTACCTGACTCAGGCCCACTCTGCTCTGAGCATCACTGCGCTGGGGTGACCCCCTGGGGGTGTCCTGACAGCTGTGGGCCTCCCCTCCCCACCCAGCCTTGCACACCCCCAGGGGCGGGTCTGTCTCATCTATGTACCCCAGGATCCGGTGGGGGCCGGGGAGGGTCCCTCTGCCCACAATGGACGTGAAGTCCCAGCTGTCCCGTGTCTGTGATTTGTAGGAGGGAATTGGGCCTCTCACCCAGCCCACGGCCCACTCTTCCCCCGTAAAGTGTGGGGTGGGGTGGGCATCACGTGAGTAGCCAGCCAGGAAGCAGCCAGAGCAGGTGAGGGAATGAGGGAAAGAGCGTCGCCATGGAAACAGCAAGCATCCATCCCAGTGGCTCTGCCGCTCGGAGGAGCTCTGTGTGGCTTTGCAAAGGGCTGCACGGGTCTTTGTGACAATCCTGCCGGGAAAGGCTGTCAGCAGGGCTGTCCCTGAGAGGGTGGGGCCGGACGTCCCTCTCAGTTCAGTGTTCCCTGCCGGAAGTGAGGTCCCTGGGAAGGGCTTTCTCTCCCGGCCCCGTGGCCGCCACCCACCCTGGCCAGGCTCTCTCATCAGCAGCAATGAGGGCTTGGGCCTCTTCACCCAAGTGACCCTTCTAGAACCTTCCAAGCCGTTTCCTGGTTTCCCCACAGGCATTGCTCTTCCGAAAGGCATGGTCATAGGGAAAGTGAGGACTGGGTGAAGCTCCGCTCGGCCACTGACTCACGTGTGACCTGGGGGTGCCTGTTGGTCACCCTGAGTCTCTGATGGATTCTGGAGGGGCCGGATGTAAGTCGGAGGCTCCCCACGGCTCCCAAGGTGGAAGCCCAGGACCCATGGCTCAGGGGAAAGAGGGCTGGCTCAGAAACAAGCCTGAGTTCACCTTCGAAAACGGGCCAGCCTGGCTCTAAAGCTGGAAGTGACTGAGAAGTGGTGGACTCAATTACGCGTGAGGAGGCCGCCGCCCAGCGAGAAGCAGCCGGCTCAGGTCGATGGCCCAGCAGGCTGGGGCCCCGCTAAACCAGGGACAGAGACCCAGGACTGCACTGCTGGTGGGTGTGCCGGGCCAGGGGCAGTGAGGGGGCGTCTGAAGGGGCCGAGCCGCAGCACACCAGGCTGCCCCCCAAGCCCCCAGCCCTCCCTCCCGTCTTTCCTCACATCTCTGTCTCCTTCATCCTCACGGCCATGCTACAAGAGGGGGCCTCTCCTGCTTCCCAGGCAGCTGTGGGCCCCACCACTGGGCCAGCGAGGGGGTCCTGGGCCTCTGGTCCCAACACCTGTGCCTCGAGTACGTGGGTGGGGTGCAGCCTCACACCACAGAGAGCTCAGCAACCCCAGGTCTCTGGGAGCTGAGGCCCCCAGCCCTGTCTTCGGCCACAGGACCCCTCGTCTGCACATCCCTGGGGGCCCCGGCATGCCAAGTCCAGCTGGCAGCAGCCACACTGGCCCTTGTCCCCCAGGTCCCAGTCTGGTGACCACCCATGCTCTAGCCAGACCAGTCGCCAGTGGATGGAGCCACAGAGAACAGGCGCTGGGGGCTCCTCAGCCCGGACACGGCTTCTCTCTGGCCAGTCCCCGTCCAAGCCCCCATCTTTCACACCTCCAGCTTCCCCTCCAGGCCACCATGGCCTGCCCACTGCTGACCCTTATGTCCGGCCACACAGATGGGGGGGGTGTCCGGCATGGGCACTGGGCTCGGAGCCGCCCCAGTGGGCACATTGGGCTTCTAGGAGGGCCCTTCCGGGGCTCAGACAGCAGCCAAGTCAGGGCTGGGGAGGGGCCCGAAGGGAGAGCTGGGGAGGGGCGCCCTGTGCTTCAAGGAGGAGGCGAAGACTCCCACCCAGCGTTCCTGTGGGGGAGGCTGGGCCAGCAAGGACTGTGTGAAGAGAGGTGCTGGGTGGGGGGCTCCTCTCAGGAGAGGGCCTGGGCAACCCCGCCCGAAGTTTACTCTGCTCCTGGACAACAGGCCAGAGCCACCTCGTGAGAGCGAAGTTCAGGGCCTCCGGCTCCAAGCTTCACTCCCCCCTGCCCAGCCAGCCGCTCCCCCAGGGCAGGGCAGCCCATGCCTTTGATGGGGGCAGCCACCGGAAGCTCTCCATCCCTCACAGCAGAAAAGCTGCAGCCCTTCCCCAGGCCCCGCACCCACTCAGGTTCGCCTTCCTAACAGGACTGACCTCGGCACTCCCTCACTCAGTAACCATCTGTGGCTCCCCATCACCTCCAGGCGTGGCTTTGGGGGAGCACTGCCATCTGGTCTCAACCTTCCCACCTTCACTCCTGTTCCCTGCCCCGCCCCCCCAGCAGGCCCCCACCTACTCACACGAGGCTGTGAGCATCTCTAGTGGCCCCAGCATCTCTGGTCCTTGCACCCAGTTCTGGCCTCCGTGCCCTCCCTCCGGTCCCCACCTACTGGAACTCCGTGTGTGGAGTTTCAGAGCACAGGCGCCTCCTCAGAGGCCCATCGGCTCATAGCCATGGGGCTCCCTGTGGGAGGGCAGAGTCCAGACAGTTTACAGGCCTTGGCTGAACCTCAGCCCCACCACCCGGAGCTGGACGTGGAGTCCAGACACAACCACGCCCCCGGGCTCAGACCCTTCTGCACCTGGAGAAGCAGAAAAGTCCTGCCTGCAGGGTGCTCCAGATGAACGGAGACGGAGACGAGAGTCTGCAGACATCCACCCGGGAGCCACAAGCTGGGGAAATATGGTTCAACCCTTTCCGGGCAGAGGAACGGCATCACCTGGGTGAAGGTGCGTGTGTCTGCTGGAGGATAGACTGGGAGGAGGACAGGAGGGCTTCCTGGAGGAAGCAGGAGAAGTTCCCCTGGTGGTCAGGGGAATGTCTGTTGCCCAAAAGGCAAGTTTGCCATTTTAAAATGAATTTACACTGGCAGAACGTTTCTGTCAACATTTAAGAACTCTCAGGTAATGAGTCTGGTCCAGCCTGTTTTCCTTTTTGCTCTGGCTGCCAGGAAGCCTTTGGACAAACTGTGCAAACGAATGCCCCCGCCCCCCACTTTTTTGCTGTAGAGCTTGTGGTTGCTCTTTCACAATTAATTTTAATGGTACTACTGGGTGGTGCAAACAGTTAATGCACTTGGCTGTTAACTGAAAGGTTGGAAGTTCAAGTTCACCCAGAGGTGCCTTGGAAGAAAAGCCTGGCAATCTACTTCTGAAAAAGCAGCCATTGAAAACCCTCTGGAGCTCAGATCTACTCTGCACACGTGGGGTCCCCATGAGTCAGGATTGACTTGGCGGCTACTGGTACTGATTCTAAAGGATTCAGCCCGCAGCCACAGCACCATCCAGGCATCAGCTGGAGGGAAGTGTTTGGATGGAGGGCTCTCCTTCAGCTGCTGTGAGCTTGCTCCCCCGGGGGTGAAGCCTCTACTCCAGAGTGAAATGAGGCTGGCCTCGCAGCCACCCCGTAACTCCTGAAGGCTGGAGGGGAAGCCCCCCTGCAGAGGCTGTCCACGTGCAGAAGGGGAGAGAAAACCAACTCTGGGCAAGAGGCTACCTCTGGAAATCAGGAAGCAGCTCGGGTCTGTCCCGAGCACGGGGCCCCTGCACTGGTTATGCCACAGCTGCCGGGGCTGGGGAAGGCCGGCACCCTTGCTCCCACCCGGCTCCCGCCTTGCCCTGCATCTACTAACTGGTTCAGTCTGCTGACACCTGGTCTAGCTCCAGGATGACCCTGCAGTGAACCCTACAGCCCATGCCCCACGGAACCCACAGGTCAGTGCTCAAGGCTCTTCTAAGACATCCCTGAAGGGCTTTGGGGTATCCTGCAGTTACGGGGTGGAGATGCATGTGTGTGCTGGAGGGGAGGCCCAAGAGGAGGACAGGAAGGCTTCCTGGAGGAGGCAGGTGAGAGCTGGGCCTTAATGTATGCGTGGGAGCTGGAGGCAGAAGCAAGCTGGCGTGTGGTGGGGAGGGGACGGGTTATGCAAAGGTTCAGCAGCACACGAGCCCGCCCGGGACTTGTGCTCTGGTTCCCTTCCTGTGTAGCCACTGGTACTCATTCTGGATTCCTGCTTCGGGTCGGGGTATGGTCAGGCCCCTGCCAGGCACTGCCAAGGCCACAGCCCCTCCCCCGCCGCCATGCTGCACAGTGTCCACTTACTCCGGAGGCCCTGGGACAGGTGGGCGCTGCTGCCCAGAGATGTGGGCAGGGAGCACTTCTGGCAGAGGCATTCCTTCCCGTTGAAGGTCACTCGGTCCCCGGGCGGAAAGGGCAGCCTGGAACAAGAGGGCAGTAGAGCTGGGACCCCTGTCTGGCCCTCCTCTCCAGCAGGGAGCCCCACCCAGAGCTCCGATTCCAACGTCATTGCCCCCTCTTCTCCAGGAGTGGACACTGCAGGGCGAGGGTGAAGGCCTCCTCGCTCGGGCGCTGCCACACTCCGCTGTGTGACCCTGAGCCTCAGTTTCCTCACCTGCAACCATGAGCCTCCTCTACCCTTCAGTCAGCCCTGCCTCGCCTGACCACCACGATGCTCTGTCCATGTCACTCCAGCGATAGTGGTAATGGCTCTTACCGAACACCTGGTGTGTGCCAGGTACTAGGGTAGTTACCTTACGGGCATGCCTCATTTAATAACTCTAGGGCGTTTGCCCAAGTTAGGATTCACTTCTCCTAGAGCGAAGAAAACTGAAGTTCAGAGAGGGTCATTAACTGTTCCAAGGACACACAGCTGATATGTGTTGGAACCAGATTCAAATCAAGACCTAGCTGCAAAGTTCCATGATTGACCGTGGTGTGATGGATTGCTTTTGTGTGGCGTTTTTCGCCATAGTCCTCTAACTCTCACCCAGGTGATTGGTCGGGACTGTGCAGATAGGGTAATTGCAGCCCACCAAGGGGATTGGTCAGTTTTGCCATCCCATGGGGCTTGAAATGAGCCACCCCAGAGGTGGGAAAGGAAAGATCCAACCACCACCAAGGAAGAACAGCCAGGAGCCAGCCTGTCCTTTGGACCCAGGATCCCTGCACTGAGAAGTACCTGGAACCAGGAGACCGAGAGAGAGAGAGACCTTTAACACTGCAGGCAGCGAGAAGCGGCGGCAGAGAACCAGTAGCAGAGACCTGGCAGCAGGAAACACCACAGTGGGTTTCCCGGCCCATGGAGAGAGAAAGCCGAGTGCCTTTTTGCAGAGGCTGAGGGCCAGGGAGAGATGTGCCTGGGAGCACAGCTGGGGAGAGGCTATCTTGTTGGAAGAACTCTATCCTGAGTGTTCTTGAGCCCCAATTGTAACTGTTACTTCCCTAATAAACCCCATAATTGTCAGTATGGTCTGTGAGTTCTGTGAGGCCATTGCAATGAATTATTCAACCCAGCAGAGAAGTAGAGAGTGCCGTGGGAGGGACGATTGGTGTCAGAGTTGGTAAAAAAGGTATGTCTGACCTCCGCCTCATAGGATCAGCCTTGGGCTGTTGATCTAGATTCTTCTTCTCCCATGTCAAGTTACAGGAGGTCAGACACGGCTCCCACACTGTTTTTACATGTACCTACTTGGATCTTTAAGGAGGAAGAAATGCCTGGCAATTTATTTCTGAAAAATCAGCCTTTGAAAATCCTGTGGAGCGCAGTTCTATTCTGACACGTGGGGCTGTCATGAGTCAGAATCAACTCTATGGCAAATGGTGCTGGTTATTAAAAGTGTACTTTCTAGATTCCAAGGTGCTGGACAAATCCTGTCTTTCCTTAAAAATCTGCATTTTGTTCATCATGAACTTTTTGCACTAATTTTGATTTTTTAAAGCATTGCATCAAAATGTGATTTATCTTGATTACTGAGTTTTCTGGCACCCCTTAAATTCTGCACCCTCATTGTCCCAGCCACGGTACAATGTAAGGGCTATTTATCACTCTGAGGCTGCCGAGAGCAAGCTGGGTGGGAGGCAGCAAAGAGCCGGCCACCTGCCTGCCTGCCAGCTGTAAGACCTTCTCCCTTGGCCAGCTACCAGGTGGCTAAGCTGGCCGGCGAGCTAAGCCCAGGCCACCTGCTGACAGTGGTGGGAAGCATGGTCATTGCTGCCACTGAGCTCTCGGTTCCTGACAGCCACTGAGCCTCTTTCCTTCCCGAGCTCGCCCTGGCCAGAGGACCTGGAGATTTGTGGGGAATTATCTGAACTGGGACATGCTCTTTCCTGTGGCTTAAATATCTTTATTGGCTCCCCTCTGCCCTCTTTGGGCTGGACAATGCTTGGCACATTCCAAGCACTCAGTAGATAATTGTTAAGTGAATGAACAAACAGAAGTACAAGTGAAGGACCGAAGTTCCAGCATGTATGGCCTCCTCTTCCTTGCCCCCAGGAGGCCGAGCTCAGGCCACTCTCTCCTGCCTGGGCTATTGCCTGGTCACACCAGCTGCAGTCCAGCTGCTGATCAGCAGACACAGGGAGTTTCTGACTCACAGGCTGCTAGGCCTTCCTCTGTTAAAACCCTGCCATAGCCCCCACTTTGTGGGGCTGCCATTCAGGGTCCTCAGTTAATTCAGTAGGCATGTGGTTGGACCCCCATCTGTGCCAATTTCTGCTCTTGGGGATCAAGGACAAGTGAACCCCATGCCCTTTAGCAATCTTGCCTTCATTTTTGAAAAGAATTTTTGCTGGGTATAGAATTCTTGTTTGACAGTTCTTTTAGCACTTGAAGTTGTTCTATTGCCTTCGGCTTGCATAGTTCCTGATAAGAAGTCTGTAGTCATTCTTCCTGATAAGAAGTCTGTAGTCATTCTTTCACTCCTGTGTACATAATGTGTTTTATTTCTCTTCTTTTGAGATTTTCTCTTTTATTACTGGCTTTAAGGAATTTTATTATCATGGACTTGGTAGGTTTTCATTGTGTTTATTTACTGCTTAGAGTTCACGGAGTTTATCGAATCTATGGGTTTATAGTTTTCGTTAAATTTGGGAAAGTTTCAGCCATTATTTCTTCAAATATTTTTCAGTTCCCTTCCTCGTCCCCTTTATGGGTTGGTATCTATCTATCTGTCAGTCATCTATCTTACACCACAAATCGCTGAGGCTCTTTTCATTTTTTTTTCTCTCTCTCTGCTTCAATTTGAATGGTTTCTATTGTTATCTCCTCCAGTTCACTGATCTTCTGCAATACCTAATCTACTGCCAATTCCCTCCAGTGAACTTTTCATCTAAAGCATGGTATGTGTAATCTCTAGAAGTTCCATTTGTTTTTTTTCATATGTTCCATATCTCTCGTACTTATGTGTGTGTTTTCCTTTAAATACCTAAACTTATTTACAAAAGCTGTTCTAAGGTGATTGTCATCTAATTTCACCATTGCTGTCATTCCTGGGTCTATTTCAATTCACTGATTTTTTTTCTGGCTATGACTGATATTATGCAGCTTCTTCTCACAACTAGTCATTTTTTTATTAGATGTTGGACATTGTAAACTTTATGTCGATGGATGCTGTATTTTCTTATATTCCTTTAAAGAGTGTTGGGCTTTATTTTGGCAGGCAACCTATTTGTGGGTCAGCATGATCTTTTTGAGGCTTGTTTTTATATTTGGTTAGAATAGATTTATAGTAGCTTTCACTCTACGGCTAGTTTAGTCCTATTAGTAAGGCATGACCATTATGGGGTCTCTACCGCATTCCTGAAGGAGCCCTGGTGGTGCAATGGTCAAGCGCTTGGCTTAACCAAAAGGTCAGTGATTCAAACCCACCAGCCACTCCACAGGAGAAAGATGTGACAGTTTGCTTCCATAAAGATTGCTATTGTCAGGTGCCATGTGAAATCTCCTTTATGTCTACGTGGCTTAGTCTCTAGTCAAAGATATCACCATGCAGATTTCTGGAGCTATTTCTCTGCATAAGCCAGTTACCATCGAGTCGATTCCAACTCATGGCAACCCACGAGTGTCAGAGCAGGACTGTGCTCCACAGAGTTCTCAGTGGCTAATTTTTCAGAAGTAGATCACCAAGCCTTTCTTCCAAGGTGCCTCTGAGTGGACTCATACCACCAATCTTTCAGTTAGGAGCTGAGCACATGAACTATTTGTACCACCCAGACCATCCATAACTCTCTGCATAGCTCTCTCTTTTCTGATACTCTGCGTTACAAGTTCTACTTGCTTCTGCCTCTCCGATCACTGTCTCCTCAACTCAGTGAGAACACCACGTTCTACTAGGATGCTCCCTCCTTGTGCTATGGTCCAGAAATTGCCTCTAGGCAGAAAGCTGGGGCACCATGAACTCACTTCGTTTGTTCCCCTTCTCTCGGTACTGAGCTGCCTGCAGTCCCATGTCTGAAAGCAGTTGTTTCGTACATTTTGCCCAGTTTTCTAGTTGTTTATGGTGGGCGGAAAGGCCCAGTCCCAGTCACTCCAACATGACCAGAGGCTGCCTGTCTGCCATTATTATTAAAATAGCAGAGTATCCAGAAGTGGTCTCTCAGACCATCTGTGATGATGTCAACCCTTCTCTCTAAGCTGCACACACAGAAGTCAAACATTCAGATAATCCTCGGGAGCCCTGTGGCCAGGCCATTTGGCATGTTCCAGCAGCCCACTGTGACTCAGTCATCAGCAATGTGCTTTGTCATCATTGCTTCCTCCCCTAGCATCCCTCTGACAAATGTTCCATTTCTGTCTGTACACATGCTGTAACCATGGACATCTGCTTTGAAAACAACACTGAAAAGGCCCCCTTTAACCTGGGTGTGGCGGGACACGGAGAACAGAGCGGAAATAAACTGTGTGTGTGTTTTTTTGTTTAATATTCTCTGTTTTCTAGAAATGGAACTTCCTCTTGGGGGGAAAGTCTCTGGGGCTGTGGAGGGAGGGAGGGAGGATGTCCACTGGGGATGGATGCCCACTGGTTTCCCTGCTAAGCCCCCAGAGGCACAGGGCAGAGGGGAGCCGCTCTGACCTTGTTGCAGGAGGCTAGGGGTCACACGCGCTCTGTGCTAGGAGCCGGGACAGGAGAGGAGTCAGACCAGCTCCTGCCCTCATACAGTCCCTATCAAGCGGTACCCAGAAAGGGAATGAGGATATGGTTGGGCCAGGAGGAGGGAAAGGGAGGGAGCTATTCTCCAGTGTGGGTAGGGAGCTGGGAGAAGCTCTTTGGCCAAACCACAGTGCATCTAGATGCTGAGCACTCCCATCACCCCGTAAGGTCTTGGCTGATGCAGTCCCAAGTCAGCAGTGCCAGTCCTGGGCTAGGTACACACTGCTGTTGTTGTTAGGTGCTGTCAAGTTGGTTACGACTCCTATCGATCCTACGTACAACATAACAAAACACTGCCCGGTCCTGCGCCTTCCTCACAATCCTTGTTATGTTTGAGCCCATCATTGCAGCCACTGTGTCAGTCCATCTCACTGAGGGTCTTCATCTTTTGCACTGACCCTCTACTTCACCAAGCTGGGCACATGTAGGGGCCTCACAAAGCCTGGTTGAATGAATGAATGAGTGAGTGAGCAAATGAATGAACCGCAGCAGACTGCAAGGATCCTTCATCCAGGCTAAGGAGCGTGGACTTCCTCTTGGAGGCCATGAGAGCAACATGGAAGAGGTCAGAGGTCAGAAGGGAGGCAGAGGTAGATGCCCTAACAGAGGCTGAGGCAGGGGTCCTGTCCAAGTGGGTGTTTGTGAGGCTCCATGAGGGAGGAGCTGGGTGGACGGAGAGGAGGGGTGGTTTGGAAGTCACTGAGGAGGGGAGAGGGGCAGGATGGGGGGACGGATTGAATGTCACGGGTGAGAAGGAAGGAAACTTGAAGACCCCCACGCTCGGACCTCACGTGGCTGGAGGATGGGTGGTGGTGCCTCCCACAGCTTGGGGGGCGGGGTGTCAGAGCAGAGACCTGCCAGGACCACGGAGGAGCAGCAGATCGAGGAGACGAGGAGACAGCGGGAAGGGAGATCACGTGGTGGCAACGCCAGAACTTACCGGGTGGTCAGCAGAACGTGGCCAGGAAGGGGCTGTGGGAAGTTAGGGACAGGGGTGACCTAAGCAAGTGTAGGCGGGGGGGTGGGGAAGGGAGGCAGTGGACTGAGGTCAGCAGATGGGGCCAGGAGACTTAGGGGTGTGTTGGGCTCAGCAGAGGAGCCAAGAAGAGGGTGAGACAGAAGGTGAGGATGGGGGGGACAGCTGGGGACCCGCTGGGGAACGGACAGAGCGCCCTGGCCTTCCAGATAACTCCCGCTGTGGCCTCCGGCCAGCTGTGTGACATGGGCAGGCTGGCCCAGGTCGGTCCCTGCAATGTGGGGTCCCGGCCACAGCAGGGGCTCAGGCACGGCAAAGAGGAGCTGCTGTGATAAATAGGGGGGATCGGGGTGGGACCAGGGCCCAGCTGGGACAGGAGGAGGAGCCCCTCCCTCAGGGGATATATGGGAGCATCCAGGGAAGTTCCCAGGACTGGGACCAGACAGGCCTCTGCACCCTCCAGGAAATAAGTGGCTCCCATGGCCCCTCCCCTTCAGACAAGGAGGTAGGGGTGCAGGGGCCGTGAGGGGAGAAGCTGTAGGTGCGGCTGGTGTGCAAGCACCCAGGGTCCACCAGCCATCTCCCAGCTGAGCCCCACCTCCCCTCCCTGGCCCTCACTGACCCAAGGAAGAAGGGAAGAAGAAAGGGAGGGAGGGAAGGAGGAAACAGGATTTGGGAGGGAGGGAGGCAAGGAAGAAAGGACAGAAGGAAGAGAGGGAGGAGGAGGTGGGGAGCAGGGACGGGACAGTCCCACTCACCGGCACACAGCACACACGAAGCAGTCGGGGTGGTAGGTCTTGCCCAGCGCCGACACCACCTCGCCCTCGATGAACTGGTCGCAGCGGAAGCAGCGAGTGCCGTACAGCCTCTGGTAGTCCTGCGTGCAGATGTACTCTCCCTCCCGCACGAAGAACCCGCCCTCGGCCAGGTCACAGCCGCACGCTGGGGACAGCACCGAGGCCGCGTGAGCGTGGGGTGCCGCGGGCTTCCTCCCGTTCCCCACAGCCCCGGACGGACCCCTCCACGCATACTTCCCCACCAGACACAGGTCTCACGGCCTCGGTGCAAACTTGGGGTAGGGGGCACCCCTGACCCCAAGAGACCAGGCTCCAGGTGCAGACTTGGACCTGGGGCTCCAGGAACAAGCCAAGAACCCGAAACCACTACCTCTTGGACCCAGTTTTGTCTAAAGTCTCCTGAGAAATCTGAGCTCCTGAGAAGTGAATTCTAGGACCTCCGTGAATAACTGGGAATTAGAGGAGAAGGTGCCCCAGGTGACAAGCCCACCTCCATGTGCCCAGGGACTTGACCTCAGCCCAGGTGCCAAGCCCATTAACAGCCTCCCCAGGCCCCCGGCAGCCCCAGCTCTAAGCTCCTCACCCTGTTCCCCAGGCCCCCAGCTCCTTGCCCCGTTCCCCAAGCCCCCAGCAGCCCTTGGCCCAGTCCCCAGCTCCTGGCCCTGTTCCCCAGGCCCCCAGCACCTTGCCCCGTTCCCCAAGCCCCCAGCAGCCCTTGGCCCAGTCCCCAGCTCCTGGCCCTGTTCCCCAGGCCCCCGGCAGCCCCAGGTCCTATCCCCACAGAGGACACAGGCCCTGCCCTCTTGTACCCACAAGGCCTGTGTGGTACAAACATCGCCTCTATAGTGAAGCCTATACCCGTCCCCTACAGTTGTCCTCCTAGTTGGCCCTCCTGGTCAGGTGGACCTTGCCCCGTGAGGCCCAGAGTCTTACCCCTCTGTCCTGGCCTCCCTCCCATCCACCAGAAAGGACCATATTGGTCTGAGCCCCAAAGAGAGCTGGACTCACAGGCCCTCCCCAGCTCCTGGGCTCCAGGACCTCAGTGCCCGTGTGGCCACGGGTGGCTCTGCCGGAATGACCCCCTGGGGCCCGCTTCCCCGCGCCTCCTGGTCTCCCCCTTTCCAGCCCAAACGCAGGATGACAGAAACACCCTCAGCAACAGCCGCCACCACCTAGGTCCCGGCGCCCCCTTGCACGCCGTTCTCCAAACCATCTCATTCAATCCTCTCACACCCTGCGAGGCAGCCCCAGTCACCAGTACAGCCGGGCTCAGGGAGGGGCAGCACCTGGATGCAGGGCCCCCAGCCAGGGTCCTGCCCGGAATGAATGCCGCTCCAGTGGCGGGAGGGAACAAGAGTTCCAAGGGCAGGAGAACTGGAGCCCATTTTTCCCGGTGGGCCCCAAGCTGTAGGCCCCCACCATGGCCTGGGCCTCTTTCCCCGGCAAACCACTGCCCCTCTTAAGGCCACTGTCCCCTGTACTTGCAAATATGACCCTGCTGGAAATAGGGGACTTCTTATGTTGTGTTGATGAGGTCATGCTGAGTAGGGTTAAACCTAACGCCTTAAATCTCTGTCCTTTCAAGTTGCCCACTGGTGGTACGCTTGTCATGCAGCCCATGAGACTAAAAGCTGCCCCAGAGGTGCCCCCATCTCCTCTGGCCATTCAGGCCTGAAGACCAGGGGCCTGCCCCTTCCTCCCACTGCCCCAAGGGAGGAAGGGTCTCACAGGACAAGGAGCCGGGGCTGCCCCAGGAGGCCACCCAAGTGAGCTGGTGAATTCCAGCAGCTCGGAGCAGCCCCTCCACCATCAGCCTCTCCAGGGGCTCCTCTCCCCGCGAGACCCACCTGGTGAGCCCTTCCCCCCTGGCTCGGCCACACCTTGGCGCCCCTGCTGCCCCCTCCCTCTAGAAGTCTCTTTCTTTCTCTGTCTTCCAAGGTGGCTCCTCCCCCAGAAGGCCTCTCCCAGCCTCCCAGGCTGAGCCAGGCTGCGTGAGTGCTCCACAGCCCAGAGCCTCTGTGCCCCATCTGATCATGGGGTCTGTCTTTTCCACCAGGGCGTGTGTAGTCATGGGGTACAGACTAAGCCTGGCCCCTGTGGTACCCCCATGGCAAATGGAATACACGCTTTGCAAATGAATGAGTCCCCTGCAGAGCTCAGGTTGTTGCCACATCACCTGCTCTTCCCCCTTACCTGGCTCTCTCACTCCCCCCATCTGGCCTCAGGAGCACATGGGAGCCACACATGGTTTTAGAGGGAGAACCTCACTGTGCACCCATCTGGCCCCGCCCCTCCCTGCTGGACTCAGCGGGGAGCCCCGAAGCCCCAGCCCTGCCTCCTGGGAAGTTCCAGGCCCTAGCAGGGAGGCACAGCTCAGCAGATCCCAAGTCAGCATTTTGAAAAACCACGTAGCCCTCATACATTTTAAAACTGACACTTAAATGTTTTTATCTCGTTTACTGATTACGAAGGAGTGACTCAAGCCGGCTGTAAATGTTAGTCTTTAAACGCACCAGTAACGTCGTCTTTGTGTTTCCAGGGGAGCGGAAACGCCTATGAGACCGCCTTTGTAACAGGCAAGAAAGACCCAGCTCTTTGCAACCCCGAAGTTTACATGGTTCCTTTTTCTGCCTTGAAAGCATGTTTCTGTTCCAGTTCCTGCACAGAACCATATGCAAATGGAGAGCATTTCAAAGACTAACAGTCTCTTACTGATTGCCCTGTCATGTTCTCTGGAGCCCTGGTGGTGCAGTGGTTAAGAGCTCGGCTGCTAACCAAAAGGAGAGCAGTTTGAATCCACCAGCCGCTCCTTGGAAACCCTATGGGGCAGTTCTACTCTGTCCTACAGGATCGCTCTGAGTGGGAATCGGCTCGATGGCAACCGGTCTCACTTTCTCTGTAACAAAAACGCAAATACATGTTGAAATTGATTTATGAAGCATTCCTGGGACCAGAAGGCTCGGAATAGTTGATAAACTGTTCTTGAGTTGGATGACCATTAAAATATTAGCACAAAGCTATGAAAACAGCACATCTATTACACATTTTGATAAGTAATTACTAAATGTGCCAAGTAAAATTTTTGCAATGCAGACGTGGACTTTGGAGTTGGGGACATTGCTGGCCTCTGATCAGAGGAGCTCTGAGTTTTGAACCGTACCTTTGCTTGGTGCCCGGGGAGCGTTGGGAACCTGGACAGATGTGGAATTTGGGATGAGTGGACGCATCTTGGACAGATCTACTCCTATGGAAGTCTGGAATCTGGAAGCTGAATCTAGGGGAGGATCGGGGCACCCCTGGGGATACAGCCCCCTTGGTGCTGTGCCCTGTGGGGGAGCTGTTGGTGGACAGAGGGGAAGCCGCCTTCCCGGGCCCCTCAGACTGGGGAAGCCTCGTCCCCTAGAACATGGTCAAGAGCAGCAGGGGGCAGGCAGGTAGTCTCTCCTGCAGTGCCCACCACCCACCCTCACCCTCCTACCCATGACCTCAGGGCTCCGGGCAGCCCTGCGAAGGGGCACTCTCTCAGCTCAGCCCCCTTTCCAGGGGAGGTGGGCAGGCCTGGCCCAGAGGGTCAAATTGCTGTGTGCTGGTTACAACCACCATACCCCCGGGAACCCTCCCCCAGGCAGGAGGGAGCTCTGCTGATAAGGGAGAGGCACAACTGGGCAGCCAAGAGCCCGGACTCCGAGGCCACCTGGACGGGAGTCCAGCTCCACCTGCCTGCCTTGCTGTGTGCCCCCAGGCAAGTGCCTTAACCTCTCTGTGCCTCCACTTCCTCGCCTGGAACATAGGATGTAAATGGCGTCGTCCTTCACATCCTGCGAGCTAGTATTGGGTAAGCCCTGAATCACTCCCTGCTCTGCCCTCCTCCCGATTATTCATGCCCAAGATGCCGGAATCCAGCACAGAGCTGGCTCTGAATCCTCTCTCAACTCCCCGCCTCAGAATGAAAATCCTTGTTTAAACTAATTTTGCACCTCGAGTCAGATGAAGCAAATTTATCCTGACTTGGGAAGGATAGGCTATTCGAGGCTCAGCTTAGGAGAGCGACTGTATTTCATCTCAGCGCCGCCCTGTAACCAGGCCAGGCTGAGTGAGGAGATGGCTCGTGGGCACGGGGGCTTGGGTACCGGTTATGGCTCTGCTCCCCAAAAAGACACGAGGGCACAGACACACCCACACTCCCCGAGGGACTGAACTGCTAGGCTGAGGGCTCTGGGGACCATGGTCTCGGGGAACATCTAGCTCAACTGGCATGACACAGCTTATAAATCTACCTGGGTGAGTAGTGTCTGGGGTCTTAAAAGCCTGTGAACAGCCATCTAAGATACCCCACTGGTCTCATCCCTTCGGGAGCAAGGGAGAATGAAGAGAACAGGATACAAGGGAAAGATTAGTCCCAAGGAGTAATGGTCCACAGCTACCAAGGCCTCCACCGGACTGAGTCCAGTACAGCTAGATGGTGCCCGGCTACCACCACTCACTGCTCTGACCGGGATCACAACAGAGGGTTCTGGACAGAGCTGGAGAAGGATGTAGAGCATAATTCTAACTCACAAAAAAAAGACCAAGACCAGATTTTCTGGCGTAAAGGAGACTGGAGAAACCTCGAGAGTATGGCCCCCAGACACCCTTTTAGCTCAGTGGTGAAGTTACCTCTGAGGTTCACTGTTCAGCCTGGGAGTGGACAGCCCCGTAAAGCCAAATGAGACTAACGAGGTACAGGAGTCCAGTGACAAGGGCCAGAAAGCAGAAGGGGACAAGGAAGCTGGTGATAGGGAACCCAAGGTTGAGTAAGGATAGTGTTGATGTGTTGTGAGATTGTTAACCATTGTCATAGAGCAACATGTGTACTTACTAACTGTTAAATGAGAAGCTGTTTTGTTCTGTAAGCCTTCATCTTAAGTGAGAATAACAGCACAATTGGAAGAGCGTAGTCAATGTCACTGAACTGTGCATGTAGAAATTTTTGAAACGGTGTATCTTTGGCTATGTGTATTTTCACCAAAAATAAAAGGTTGAGAAGTTAGAAGGTTGATATGTTGTGGGGTTGTTAACCCATGTCATAAAACAACATGTGTACTTCTGTTTCATGAGAAACTATTTGTTCCGTAAGCCTTCACCTGAAGTACAATAAAAAAAAAA